GGGGGGGGGGATTAAGGTACAAGAGATGAAAAAAGAAAGATAAAAGAAGGAAGAAGGTTGGGTAAATGACGGGTGAACAGATGGTAGATACATCGCAGTATTAAAGATATTAATAATTAGGAAAGGATATGAAATTATGAATATTTTATTTTATTTTTTCGTACTTCGGTTTCTTGAACATCCCCCAAACCCCCTCCCCTCCCTCCCGAAAAAAATTCTTTAAAATTATGCATTACTTCCCTTGAACACGATTGTAAAAAGATATTTTTGAAAACTATAAAAGATTAATGATGGCATGGGTAAAAATTTTCAAGAGGGTGGTCCGAATACTTGAATTAAACCATCAACTACTGTTTTCAAAATCTAACCATGGAGCTGGAAACTTTAGAATGGTGAATATCAGGATTAATATGCTTAATCTTCTGTTTTTTCTAATCTCGAGACAAACATAATCTCGAGATTATGTCTCGTCATGATGCCTTGCATGAATGGAAAAGAGAAAAAGAGTGTATTAAGAGTTAAAATTAAAAGTTTCCACAGTGGATATTCGGATTAAGCAGTTGGGATTAAAGGTTATCCATTTTAAAGTTCCAGCTCAGGAAATTTAGTTGAAATTAATTTTGTGACATTTTTTCCTCCTCTCAGGTTGGATACAGAGCTTATGTACTTTAAATTCTATATTTGTTGGTTAAAACTAGTGCATGAGTAGTGGGGCATGAAATCTAGAACTTTTTGTACGAATATTTCAGCAATGACGGCGGCTGAAGAAGTATATAAGAAACGTTATAATCAGGATATTTTATCGTAAGTGCAATTACAGAAAGCGTACTGCATTTAATGTAGGAATGTAAAGGATCGGGAAGGCAGGAGGGAGGGGGGCTATCTAGCTGAGTGAAGGGATGTGAAGGATCTAATGGGTTCCTACCTGGATGAATGAAGGGATGTGAAGGATCTAATGGGTTCCTACCTGGATGAATGAAGGGATGGGAATGATCTAATGGGTTCCTACCTGGATGAATGAAGGGATGGGAAGGATCTAATGGGTTCCTACCTGGATGAATGAAGGGATGTGAAGGATCTAAAGGATTCCTACCTGGATGAATGAAGGGATGTGAAGGATCCCCATCTATTCTGAGGATCAAATGTTGAAATATTTTCCTTCTCTGCCGACGATGATTGGAACATTTCTAGCGTTGAGGTCTCTTGACTCCCTGTACATGATTAACAATTAAACACGGTACAGTTCATTGTTTGTATACAGGGTTAGTAAATATTACGCTCATGTGCGTTTTTAAGCCCTGTACAGTGTATATTCAAAATAAAAATAGAGCAAGAGTCGGATTCATTAATGAATAAATTGATGGGGAAATTTGATAAAATATTTAAAATTCAAGTACTTTTATTTTTTTCTAAAGTAACGGATGAAAATGAATAAGTTGCCGGCTTAGCTGTATAATAATGAATTAATATCCTTATCTTCAGATTTAGACAAACTATTTTTGCAAAAACAAAATAACAATATACTTTTACACCGTCGTTATAAATTAGGATTAGGAGGCAAACAAAGAGGAAAAAGGATGTATGGAGGTTAATTAAATAGAAAAATAAGATCATTAAGTGTGTAAGTGCATGCAGTGATATCAGTTTACAGTACTAACGATTAGAAAATTGAAAAACTGCCGCCATATTAAATCAAATTGCAAATGGTCATTTTAAAGCGGGGATTTATATTTAGCAAAAAGTTTATTTTTAACAGCTGTTGCGCTGGAAACAATAATTTAGAAACCACTTGAACAAAATATTTAAAATTAGAAAATGTTGGAGTAGTAATATTCAAACCATACACAGAAACCCTAACCAACTAAACCAATCTACCAAACCATATATTTTGTTAGTAGATAAATAGATAGTTAGAAAGAACGCCAGCATGGAGTTTTCGATCTTAATGTTGTACTATAGAGCAGAGAGAATTCTGGTGAACTGATTGCGTGCTTAATTTTCTAAATCCGATATCTTTGCAGCCTGATGGTGTAAACCTTTAATATTTCAAACTGTGACTATAAAATCTATAAAAATTGTTAGTATGAAATATCAAAGGTCTACGACATTAGAATGCAAAGACTTAAGGAATAGAAAATTCCTGTTTGAAGCAAGCGTCCTGGTTTTTTAATCATTGTGATAAAGTTCCCATTTACTTATATATATCTTTCATTTCCCCCTTTCCTTCAAGTCTTAGAACATGCTCCTATAGGTTAATAAACTGTATTGAAACCAATCTTCCAGTTAGTAATGGGCACAGTCTTCATTTATTAAATAAAAATTATTTTAAATTTAATTTGTTTTGAATACAAACTTAACATTTTTCAACTCGAATTTAAAATTTTTCCAATTGTTTTGCGTTTTCTATCGAAAAGTCTAGAAAAACAATGCATTCTGTATTTTACTGGAAAAAACTGTGCCCAGCGCTACCTCAACACTACCTGTAATAACATCGAATTTTTGAAACGTAATAACGGGAAGACTACTCCACATATTTTCGTCAGCTTCTAATTTCGGACAAAAAAAAATAAATGAAAAAATGAAAAAGAAGAGGAAGAATTGGGAAGGAAAAATAAATAAAATTAAGATTTTTTGTATTTTTTGTACAAACTAAGTATTGTTGGATTAAATGCTACCCCGACATTTAAAGTATTAAGTATTTAAGTATTATTGGATTAAATGCTACCCCGACATCTAGCTTCTAAAAAATGTAATCTATCACTTAATAATGTACTTTTGCACTTCAATGATAAAAAAACACTTGTGCAACCCATTTAAAAATGACGTTTTACACCTTAAAAGCAATAAATGTTTAATGTTGTTAAGTCTATTCAGAATCCCATTTTACTCCAATATTTTCCTACCTGAACTTTTTACAGGGTCCTCCTCCCCTTCCTTATCCTCTCCACTCTTCTCCTCCTTCTCCTCTTCCTTCTCTCCTTTCTCTGTATCTTCTTTAGACTCTTCTTCTTTATTCTCTTCTAAACTATCCTCATCATCTGTTACCTCTATCAGCTTAACCTCTTCTTCCAGCTCTTTAACAGCCTCGTCTTCTTTTTTGACCTCCTCCGCGATGTTTTTGACTTCTTCAGATTTTTTCGGTTCTTCTTCATTTGAACTACTGGGTTCAGACGAAGAATTTGAAGTTTCAGAAGATTCAGATTCCAGTTTATTTTCAACATCAACCATTTCGGTATCTTGAATGCCGCCTTCCGACGCATCAAGGTCTATGTCGACCAAATCAAGGGATGCGACAGGTTCCCTCCAGTACAGAAAAGTCGAATAGTTTGAATTGTCGCCTCTCCTGGATTCAAAATACATGTTCGCTCTTCTTTCTTCTAAACTTTTAGGAGATGAAGTTGCCACCAACTGAGCAGACCACTCATCCTCCCTCTCATCCATCTCTTCCACGTTGTTATTCACGGTGTTGGACACGACAATATCGTCTGTATTGTTGTTAACTGTGTTCTCCTCCTCTGAATTAAGATTAGCTGAGATGGTTTTGGAAGAGGATTCTCTCTGCTGAGATCTGGTTTTCTCCAGGATATTTAATCTCTCTGCAAGCTGTTCAGCATCTGTTATAATGATCTCTCCGTTCTCGTTGTGTAGAAGAGCTGTGATGGCAGGATCAGCAAAGGTGGATATAAAGGGACCTAGGGCTTGAAAAGCAGCCATTCTCACCCATCTAGAGAATAAAATACTTATGAACAAGGATAAGATAATATGAACTTTAACCCGGGAAATATAGTTTATACATGTCTTTACAATCTATGATACAAACTTAACTTAAGTCAGTACTTTATACTTTGATCAGCAGTGACATAAAAACGTTTACTGCAACATAACTAAAGTTAGAAATTAAAAGTATTTACCGCAACTTTACTAAATTTAACAAAGTATTTACCGCAACTTTACTAAAATTAGCAAAGTATTTACCGCAACTTTACTAAAATTAGCAAAGTATTTACCGCAACTTTACTAAAATTAGCAAAGTATTTACCGCAACTTTACTAAATTTAACAAAGTATTTACAGCAAATTTACTAAATTTAGCAAAGTATTTACCGCAACTTTACTAAAATTAGCAAAGTATTTACCGCAACGTAACTAAAATCAGAACTTTAAAGTATTCACTGCAACTAAAATCAGTACTTTAATAATTTAACCGCAATTTTAACTGAGGTAAGTATAACATCAAGTAAACTTAATTGAGTACTTCAAATTGAAATTTACTTATTAATGATTTTGCTTTAGCTAATATTTTCTAAGTCATGACTTCAACCCCACCTGTACTAACGTAAGTCCTATTGGGGCGAGGTATGCCTTGACTTGCTCTGGAGTAAACAGGTTGACCAGAAGTCCTAGTTGCTCAGCTAACTCAAGACGGAATCTCCAGTTCCGCTCATTGTCCATTTTTAAAAATGCTTCTAATTTTGGTAGATATTCCTGCCGCTCTTTTTCTTGCAATAATTTTAAAAAGTCCGCTAAATGCTTCAACATCCCGATCCTAACCTCATCTAAATCCTGAAATATAGAGAATATAATCTCAGGAGTTCGTGATCTTTAATAGTTAGAGGAAATCAAGTAAAGTCGGTTCAATTAATTAAATTAAATCCTCTGAGCTTTCATTAATAATATGAAAAATGTTCAAGTCCACCTAGTGAAACCCACATTAATCTCTCCTCCCACTGCCGCCAGTGTGGTTGAAGGAAACCATGGGGAGGAAATTATGTAAAGCTTATTGATAGAAATAAAAATACCTTTATAAACCCATTAAAAATGGGAACTAGATCTTGTGCTGCAACCTCCTCCCCTAAGATGACCCCCAGCTCGTGTATACTGGAGGCCAGGGTTCTCCGGACCTTCCACTGCATGTCGTTCGCCAGGGTCTCATAGGTCTCCTTCAGCAGCGGCCAGTTTGACCGGCCCAGGGTAAGTGCGACAGCAGGCAGGCTAAATGCGCAATGACGGGCAATGTCGTTGTCAACTGTCTGAGCTCGACTAGGATCTATCATGGACACATAGTGGTCGATTAAAAGCTGGGGAACGATTGACTGGTCTGTCTCCGGGGGTCCCTTGGGTAGCGCTGGGTCCGGAGGATGGACTTCAGTTGATCTGGAGTCCAAACTAGATCTGAATATAACATTTTTACAAATATATTCCTTCATCGACAGATTCCTCACACTTACACCAGGAGAGACAGAAATATAAGGGGATGTGAAAACTATGCGGGAGGGTTCGGTTACCTGCTCTGGTCTCTGAGTAAATTAATGAAGAGCGGAGACAGCTCTGTTTGACGCACAGTAGGAGAACAGACGCAGCTGACCGGCATAAATACATCCGCGCACGCTTTACGCACTCCCCATACTCCATCCTCACACAGATAGAAGAACTTCGGTAACTGAAATATCAAAAATATATTTTCTTCTTTAATATCAATTCTAATTTAGTTTTAGATTTATACATATTCCTATATCCCTGTTTCATTACACTCCTATATCCTATATTCCTGTACTTATGGTAAGAAAATTAGTTTTCAGCCCATAAAATCTAATTACATCCAGCTCCCCCCCCTTCTAATCCTTTCACCCCCCCCCTCCCCTCCCAGGATCGATACAGATAGTATGTGGGGCTATTAACACATATTTATGCAAATGTAACAGCTATAGCAATAGGCAATATCTTGGATAAAATATAACATCAACAAAATGGAGACGATTAAGATAATTCATGAAAATGAATGGATACGGATCACCCTGGTGTGTATGCATTGAATCATGAAACGTCCATGATCAATTCAATCCAGTTAAACATTGATTTTTTAAAACAATTAAGCAGAAGCCTCCTATATATTTAATGGTAAAACAATAAGAGAAATGAATTGTCCCTCTACAGCCGCAGGAAGCAATATCGTGTATTAGACTCATGAACCCCTTGTTCAAGGGATTCAGGGGAACGTGAACTCTTGAAGAATTTAGAATTCAGGAGAATCTTGAAGCGGATTCAGAATTTTAAACCGTCGTAGGATTCAAAGGGGCCTGAAACACCTTAAGTATTCGATTAGCCTTCGTAGGATTCAGAAATATCTTAAATCTTTGTAGGATTCAGGGAAATCTTAATCCCTGGTAGGATTCAGGGAAATCTCAATCCCTAGTAGAAATCAATGAAATCTTAATCCCTGGTAGGATTCAGGGAAATTCTAATCTCTGGTAAGATTAAGTGAAATCTTAATCTCTAGTAGGATTCAGTGAAATCTTAAATCATGGTAGGATTCAGGAAAACGGATGGATTGCAAGTGCTCAAGGGATAAAAGTATTGAAGCTATATGTTTGAAAAGATGAAGAACATGAGAGTATATGTAGACCGTTTAGTCCCTATATGGATATTGAAGACTGAAGACTGGAGAGTGCATGGACCCCCTGGTTAGATGGCAGGCCCGTCACAAGTTAGGAAGAATTTAAACCAGGAAAAATGTGGGAAATATTGTCTAGTGTTACGAGCTTCATTCGTGTCAAAAGATTTCAATACGCAGAAGAGTACACAACAAAAGTGAAGTGGAAGCAAGGGCGTATTAGAGGGGGGGGGGCAAGTAGGGCATTGTCCCCCTAGAACTCAAAGCTTTCACGATTTTCAAATCTTAAACTGAAGAGTGAAGAACATAAAAAATAGTTTACTGATTTAAAATTCAGTGATGGTGATGGACCAAACCTCTGTAGAGTAAAAAAGTAGATGTTAGTTCCACATTTATTGAAAATATATTTCGGTCTGGGTTGACCCTCGTCAGTTCTAATGATATAATAACCATCAAATCGATAAAAAAAATAAAAAAATGTAAAAATCACAAGAAGATAAACAAACAAAAAGATTATTCAAAATAAAAATTTGGGCTGTTCGTTCAGTGCACTAAGAAGATTGTATACGTGGACCAGAGCTACCATGACAGAGGTTCGAATGAAAAATCTAGAATGCACATTCATCCTAATCGGATGGGCGCTATCAGGGATAGCGAAGTAAAACAATTATTTTTAAATGCCAAGCCACAAAGGTTTGAGTTTGGAGGTATTAAAAGACCCTTTTTTTTAAATTTGGATTTTATCTACTTCTTTTTATTACAAACTAGCTGAAGTGCCCGGCGGTGCCCGTGGAATTTTAAAAATCGAATTAAAAAAATATATAATTTAGTTAGCTTATGTCAACCCCAAAGGTACCCATGAGTTTCATCACTAAAATTCAGCACAATTGATTCAGCCATTTGGCCAGCCATAGCAACCATATATATGAACGAAGATCTTTATTATATAAATTAAATTGTACTCCTACTTTTTTCACAACAGAAACTTTTGCATATCATAATTATTTTCTGGACCTCTCTCCTTTTTTTCATCTCATAGAATTTAAGTTTAAGTTGAGGTTTTCATTTTCAAAAATGTGTTTAACTATCTCTAGTTTAAATATTAATTATTACAAACATAACAGTATAATGAATTGTCGATTTTTTAGAGTCTTAAAGAATATGTGGTATTGGTTTTCATGGCCCAGGGTGCGCTATAAACTGATAAAACCAAATCTGAAGGACGGAGTCACGGAAACCTCTACTGAATAGTGAATATGCATATAAAATAAGAATCAGTGGAAGTGTAAGATTTGAAAACGTCGAAAGTAGGAAAATTGAAATGTTATTAAGTACTGTACTGTACTGTACTGAACTTTCTAACGTATTTCCCTGTATTTTCGTCCACTGCACTGTACTATGCTTTTATCTGGAAAACGGTTAATTAATATATCCTAATTTTATCCTAATTAGGGATTCCAGAAATTCTAAGTTATATAAAAATATGAAATACGCATATTTCAAATATTTGGTTAACGTCCAAAAAAAACTTTATGAGAAGACAAACACAGACAGATTCTGTTTATTTTGATAAAATCGAGACAAAAATTTCGGTGCGAAGGTTTAAATTCTGTATGATTGGATATCATTCGACGAGTCTTGCGTTTTTATTGAAACCTTGCTGTTTATTTAACATGTTTATCTTTGGGTTTAATGGATCAGTTACGTATATACAGGCCTTGTTGACTTTAGGCAGTTAGACAGTCTCCAGTTTATCTAATAAATTCATTCATTTATGCGTTAGGTTCATACTAAAGCTAACCGCAAAAATAACGTTCTTATTTTTAACACTATTACGGCTTCCTAACTTCCAGAGACGGAGGGGGGGGGGAAATGACAATTGTCAGCAAGAGTCAAACAAATCGATCAAACTTATAAAAGAGAATCAATAATTTACAAATTTGACGCATAAAATGTGAGAATACATAAAAATCATAAAATAGCCAGACTTACCAGTATCTTCTCTGTGGATTCCGGTCCAACAACGCCGCTAAAATCTCCAAAATTTGCCGCACACACTTTTCTAACGTGGAAGAGTGGGTCCACGCACAATGCCGCAAACCTTTCCAGGAACAAGCGCTCAGACATCTCACGACCGATCATGGGAGCCATCTTGGACAGCAGCTAGAAATAGAACACAATATAATACAATCCCTGGTTTAAGAATTAGTATTGAAATCCGTTGATTTATATATTTATCCCTTATTTAATGTGAGTAAAATGGTAAATAATGAATTCTACGTGAGTTTGGTTCAGTGGGAAAAAGGAAGGAAAACCTATATTTCAGTTTTACGAGGAAATAATTTCTAAACCCTTCATGAATTTTGTGACGAAATCTACCAACATTTTCTGAGAAAAAAATCTTATTCAAATGTTCAGTATGATGCTATTTTTTGATATGTTGTTAGTTTTATTGCCAATAAAGATAATCAGAAGATTTATTTTCAGTTATGATTTTAGTATTATTTAAGGATCGAAAATTTGACTTAAAAAATACCATTTAAGTGCAAAACAAATCGCTACTCTTCCGATAAAAATCATTGAGTATCTACAATACAGGGAAAAAAGTCCGATAATTTTGTGTTCTAATAAAAATCATCTTCAAAAAAATATATATCCTCCGATCAAAAATGCCAAATCCCCCCCCCCCCCTACCGTTGCGCATCTGTAACGAGGAAATGTTTCATTAAAAAAAGGATAAGATTTCCAAGGCAAAAAGTAGAAATAAAAAGTACGTCGGGTAAACATTTCTCTAAAAATTGTCTGGGTCGCATTTTTGAAGATTTTGTCAGCCAAGCGCAGATTTAAACAAATTTAGTTCTCAAAAGAGTTGGAATTCCTACTACTCTGTCCCCGTATCAAAGTTTAACGCATTTTCTAAATTCTTAAATACAATCTTGTTTTATAAAAGGTGTGAATGAAATCAATTTAGGAAATTCTGAACTCGATAAAAACGCCATTAGTGTGTATTTATTTTTGAGAAAGTGCTCTAATATTAAGATATTATTAACACATAATTGGCTCATTTTTATGTAAATTTTCTGAAAAAGTTCAAAAAGAAATTTTTGGATATTTGTTTAAAAGTTTAAATCACAGATCAATCTGTTTAAAAAAATCCTTTGTTTTATAACATAAAAATTCTATGTTTATAATGTCTATTTATACTTATTGCATATAGAACCTTGAAAGCAGAAGGTTTGGTAAAAGTCGTCTTGCCAGTAAATTGTCTTGTTGTATTTCTGCAGACAAAATTTAAATAATGACTAAATACAAAAAACAAGACTTTCAGAAATTTCTGTTTATAAGGGGAAGCGTTTAAATCCTTTTTAAGATTTTATTCATTAAATCCCTACTTCAGAAATTCTAGAATAGGGGATACTACACTGGAGTAGATTTCTAGAAGGGGAAATGGGGGAGGGGGTTGCGCGGCAGGAAAATCAAGATTATACGTGAGACGCGGGGCGGCGGTTCAGACTAGGCCAACAGCCGTGCCGGTACTTCGATGATAGCCAGCCCTCCGTGCCTGGCGGATCAGGCAGGCAGTAGATGTTGAAAATTAGATAGATAGCGAGCTACTTGCTAAGCACGGCCCCTGCCGGGCTGTACCGAGTAACGGACAGGCCTTTTAGAATCAATAAGTTGGAGACAGTCCGGAAAGTGTGGGCCGGATAATTAAAATATTTAATAATTCTGTATTTGTTTCATTAAAACGAATTGAATTAGTAAATTAGACTGTTTGTTGTTATTTTAAGTTAATTGTCTTAATGCTTTGTTATTAGCCTTGTTAGGCTCAGTTTTCAATTAAAAGTAAATATAATTCCCAATTTAAAACTAGATATTTGACACCCACCCTGGATGAAAGAAAAGCGGTATAATTAAAAATTAGTTTAGAAATGTTATTGCAACTTTTTACATTCTCTAAATTATAAAAAAATCATAAAAGTCCAATTGGATATTGGATTTACAATATTGCAAAAATTATGCATTAAAAAAAATGACGTATTTTTGATGAAATATTTTTAGACTGTTGGGTTATATCAATACTGACATGTATGTAACTCTGGCCGAACAAGTGAGGATTGATAGAGTATATTTATCTGCAATATATTTACTATTTCACACATTTAGCAAAATATTAGATTTTATTCAATTTAAAACAGGGAAGAAGTTTATAGTAAATTTCTGGATTAAATAATTTGGACCAAAGTCATGGGATGAAAAACAAAAAATTAATGCTAATCATAGATTTTTGAAATAATAGAAAATAGTTGAAAGATATGGGGGGGGGGGAATATATCTTCACATTTAAAAGCAAATATTTAATTTTGATCTAAATCTAAGATTTAAACTTAGCACTTTAATAATAATAAATAATTTTGATATAATGTAAATTCAACATTCGAGGTGTAAAACTCTAAAATTTAAGAAAACAATGAATCATAACATTGTATATAAAAAAAATGTTTTGTCTCATAGACTAAATTCTCTAAGCTTATCCCCGTTCCCCCTTCCCAAGGGCGACTCCCCCCCCCCCCATGGAACTAGGTGGGATCAATGACCTCAACACCAGTATTCACGCAACCTCGTGTATAGATATAAATCCAAGCTACAAATACAAAGATACTTAACGCACGCATCCATTAGTGAAACCATTCAAGTTAAGAGCGAAGATTCTCTGCCAAAATCTAATCCATAAAAATTGTCCATTAGATAAAAAAAAATCAAAACGAATTGAAAAAAACAACGATGAAAGGTTAAAATGTATCTAAAAAACTATGTTTGAATTATATTAACCTTTTTTACCCTTCTACGGTGGAATATGTCCACTTCTAGAAGCAAAGAAAAAATTACAGCTATTAGCAAAATTTTTATTGCACCCCCCGCCGCCACTCCTTCCACCCTTCTACCCTAAATGGGTAGCCGAAGATTGGCAGATTGTAAAAAGGAAAAATTTGTAAAACTGTATCCTTGAAAACTAGAAGCGTTAGAGAACCGTTGACCCCAATACTCAAGTATAAAAAACGATTTGAAATTAGAGTAGTAAGGAAACAGGGACATATTCCTACTTTGATTGGAAAAGGCTTACCTACCTACCTACATACCTACCTACCTACCTACCTACCTACCTACCTACCTACCTACCTACCTACCTACCTACCTACCTACCTACCTACCAATCCAACCTACCTACGGAGTATGTAGGATGACCAAAGGAAGGTTTACAGGAAGTATGAAGGTAGTATAAAGGGATTGTGAAGTATGAAGGGAACAATGAAAAATGAAGGAAGTGGAAATGGAGTGTGAAGTTTGAAGGAAATACGACAGGAGTCTGAAGGATGAAGGGAATAAGGGCATATGAAGGAAATGTAAAGAATAAAGGAGTGTGTAAAGGAAGTAGGAAGTGTGAAGGGCGTTTGAAACGTGTGAAGAAGAATGAAGGGTGGAAGGAGTGAGAAGAATGTATGCAGGGTGGAGGGAGTGAGAAAAGGAAGTGTGAAGGGAGAAGTGAGTGAGAAGGAAGTATGAAGGAAGGAGGACTGAGAAGGAAGTATGAAGGGAAGAGATTATGAGAAGGAAGAATGAAAAGAGTGAGAAGGAAGTATGAAGGGAGGAGGGAGTGAGAAGGAAGTATGAAGGGAGGAGGGCGTGAGAAGGAAGCATGAAGGGAGGAGTGAGTAGGAAGGAAGCATGAAGGGAGAAGGAAGTATGAAGGGAGAAGGAAGCATGAAGGGAGAAGGAAGCATGAAGGGAGAAGGAAGTATGAAGTAAGGAAGCATGAAGGGAGAAGGAAGTATGAAGGGAGGAGGGCGTGAGAAGGAAGCATGAAGGGAGGAGTGAGTAGGAAGGAAGCATGAAGGGAGAAGGAAGTATGAAGTAAGGAAGTATGAAGGGGTGAGAAAGGGAGAAGGAAGTTTAGAGGATTCAAGTTAATTCTTTATAATTCTCATGATTTACGGTTTCTAACTTCTCCAACAAAATCAAAACTATAGAAAAAAAAACTCATTTGAAAGTATAAAGTATAATATAATATAAAAATTAACATTTAATATAATCCCGTTTTCTTTACTTTTCATATTCCCTGTTCTTATTTAGCCTCCCCCCCCCCCTCCTTGAGAATTCTTTCCTATAGGTTGGGCAGCTATGCCAATTAAAACTGGAAAATATCTTCATATTCAACATTTCTACGTAATTGCTTTAAAAGCAGATTTTCTACCCTAAGTTAAATATTTAAAATCAACATGCACATTCAATGATATACATGTATATTGTATATATATATATGTATATGAGATCTATAGGTTTCATGCAATAACATTTACAATTTCTATGTATTAACTACTCAGATATCGGGTTAATATAATTTTGTACAATTCTAATGTGACATATTTTTTTTAAGGAAGTTTAATTAAACGTTTTTTTATTTCTAAAATGACAAATAAGCCCAAGTTGTTTCTAATTCAATATTAAATACAGATACAGGTTTCAAAGCAAACTTAGGCCTAACCAATACAGGCCTAGTGTCCTGTTGCTGTGACGCAGTTCAATTCAACAGAGGTCCAAGAGAACGGGGGGGGGGGGGGGTCAGGTTTACCCGTACTGATAGGATTTCATATCCCCCTCCACCTAGACAATAGCAATAAAAGCCCCAAACCAAGTATATCTGGGTTACTGTGTGATGCGTTCTCTATTTTCTCTATGTAATATATAGGTGTAAGCGATCCTGTTAAAGTGTGCTCAATGTTAATGGATTTAAATAGTTAGGTTAAGTATACGGAGGATAGCACCTGCCCCTTCCCCAGACTGACCCATTAATCTAGCGTTAGTGCAGATAGATTTGGTTTCAACTTAGAAATTTACCGATATTCACGTTTCCGTAGTGTCTATCCCTTATTAACATATTTGTTCATTTATCTACTTTTCTCAATTTATATAATTTTTCATTTTTTTTGGTAACTGTAGGATGATTTTGTTCTTAAATCATAAAAAAATACTTTTACCACCCCTAGCATTATATCAGATGTGTAGGAAGTGGGAGTTGGTAAAGATGAAGATAAATAGAGAGGATAGATAGATAGAGAACTGGAATTGGGGAAAGATAAGACTCATACAGAATTTTAACTATAGCAGACCAAACCTAGCCTTTTCATTTACGACAGTGGTTAAACTACACACATTTACACAGTGGTTAAACTACACACATTTACACAGTGGTTTAAACTACACGCATTTACACAGTGGTTAAACCACACCATTTATACCTGTACACATTTACACTGTGCTTAAACTACACACATTTACACAATGGTTAAACTACACAAACTTACACAGTGGTTAAACTACACACATTTACACAGTGGGTAAACTACACACATTTACACAGTGGTTAAACTACACACATTTACACAGTGGTTAAACTACACATATTTACACAATGGTTAAACTACATACATTTACACAGTGGTTAAACTACACACATTTACACAGTGGTTAAACTACACACATTTACAAAGTGGTTAAACTATATACATTTTCACAATGGTTAAACTACACACAGTTATACAGTGATAAAACTCAAACTATATACATTTCCACAGTGGTTAAACTATATACATTAACACAGTGGTTAAACTTCACACATTTACACAGGGGTTTAAACTACACACATTTACATAGTGGTTTAAGCACACACATTTCCACAGTGGTTAATCTAAACACATTAACACAGTGATCAAACTATACAAATTAACACAGTGGTAAAACTACACCAATTTACACAGTTGTTAATCTACACACATTTCCACAGTGGTTTAACTATAAAAATTTACACACATTTACCATTGTACACCCATTTACACAGTGGTTAAACTACACACATTTACACAGTGGTTAAACTACACATTTACACAGTGGTTAAACTAAACATATTAACACAGTGGTTAAAAAACGCACATTTACACAGTGGTTTAACTTCACAATTTGCGAGGAAGAAACATTTATAAAAATTAAATTTAAAAAAAAATAATTGTTTTTAAACTCGAAAAAACGAAGATATAAACATTTGTGTTAAGTTTTGCTGTATAAATTTCAACCATTGCTTCCAACCATTCAATAATATTGGAAGCCAGCAAACACAAGAAATTATAGATAATATGGGAGGGGGGGAATTCAAGATGACATTCCCCCACAAAGCAACCAAATATTTACCAAAACAAATATAATATCAATCTCTTCTGTAGAGAGAGGGGGGGGGGAGGGAGATAACAAAACTTAATTGAACTTTAAAAGAGTTTTCAAACAACTAATAACGAACAATTTTTCTTCTTTAGAAGAACATTCGACACCGAGTAGTAATGATGTTTAATGTTTAACTATAAAGAATAATGATTGAAAGGGGAGAACTAGAATTCAACATTTTATATCCCGTCCACCAATAGTGTGCTACATCAACAACTAGACCTAGTACACAACCGTTATCAGCATTTAACACAAGAAACACCAATCAAATTACAATCTTTCAGAATTTAAGCCTCCCCCTCTCGCAACCTGGGGTATTGTGCAAAATTTATAAAATAATGACAAATATTGATTTTAATCGTGCAAAGCTGTAATGTTGTCGGAAATCAAATTTTGCTGGGAAATGCTGTGAGTGAAGACGACCTGGGACCGGAACTCGTCAAACTGGCTGTGATATGATAAATGCAGCACATCACATCCATTTGACAAGCCACGGCCTCAAAATATTTGATTCTTCTGTTGTAACTAGGGTAGATTCTCCTTTTGTTGTAAATATATAAAAATATAATTTAAATATAAGTTAATGAAAATAAAAAACATAAAACAATATTTAATAAAAGCATATTTCTAACTTGCACTGGAATGAAGGCATTTTGAATATTTTTAATTAACGTTTTTCAGTTTATCTTTTTAAACATTTATCTTCCAGATGAAAATTCAATTTGACTTTTACAATGAAGCAAATCTGTTTTTAACAGCCCTGACGAGTCTATTAGAACGGGGATGTAAATAGAGAAATTACAGGCTTATCTTTATGCTCAATTTCATGCTTTAAATTCTGCCTTTATTAACTTAAAAGTTAAAAAGATTTTAGATTTTGTTCATCCTCGAAGACAAGAGAGACAAGTGATGGAGAGGCAAAACACTTGATTGACAACAGACAAAAGACACCAGCAAGACGGGGATTGACAACAGACAAAAGACACCAGCAAGACGGGGATTGACAACAGACAAAAGACAACAAGTTGGATAACTGGTGCCACATCATATATAGACAGACATGGACAGATTTTAGATAGATAAATCAAAGAAGAAAGTATTAAACAGTTTAAAAATGGAACCCCTACACAGACTTACACTAAACACGAGACAAAAAAGATAATGTTGAAATAGACATACAAACATACAGGGTTACCCACAAAGAATGAGACTGTAGGGACAACCTGAAACTCATCCAATATGACAATTCCAATGTTAAATTAGGTATTCTTCCTTAAATAAAGACTTTTTATGGGAAATTAATGATTGGGCAAATAAAGAAACAAATTTACAGTTACAGGGAATCATAAATAAAAGGAACAGAGACAGTATTAATTCCGTACAGTCGTCTCTGAAGTCTCCCCCCTTGTGGGTGATTATAATACCAAACAAAGGACAAAGGGAGGAAGACAATACAAGTACCTAAACAAGGGAAAGAAAGGAAGGCCAAACAAGTAGCAGAAAAAGAACAGAAAGACCAAACAAGGGGAAGAAAGAACTTACATTTACCAAACAAGACAAAGAAAGACAAAGCAAATTCCAGCCAAGAGGAAAAAGACCAAACAAGTACCAGCCAAGAGGAAAAAGACCAAACAAGTACCAGCCAAGAGGAAAAAGATCAAACAAGTACCAGCCAAAAGGAAAAAAATAAAAAAGTACCAGCCAAGATGAAAAAGACCAAACAAGACCAAACATTTACCAAACAAGGAACAGAAAGACTGAACAAGTGCCAGACAAAGGAAAAAAGACCAAACAATTACCAGTCAGGGGGAAAAAGAAACAGACAAGTACCAGCCCAGGGAAATAAAGACTAAAGTACCAGACAAGGAAAAGATGATGACCAAGACAAGAAATAAAAAAAGAAGAAAACTGATGAAAATGATATTTTTAACTAAATAATATGATCTCATGCAGATATTTGGAAGGGGGCACAATTTTTTTTCTGAAAAAACTTAATTTCCAAAAATGAGTTTATGTTGCAATAATGCTAGAATTTGCAGTGGGAAAATTCGTTTAAACGGAATGATGAACTGCAAGTTTTATTTCCTAAAAAGTGTATTCTCTATACAAATCTTTTCCGTGGATTTCTAAACCACTATACAAATATTTGCAAGGGGGACAAAAGGGGGGTTATTAATTCATACTGTAACTTCCGTTGAAAGTGGGGAAGGGTTAAGCCAGGTTTATTGTGCAAAATATATATATTTGAAAACATAAGAAATAAAAGGATATTTGTTTTAAAGCAACCTGTCCCCCCCCCCCCGTAGTTAAAATGAGAAGACTTACAGAAATATGTTTCATGATACAATATAAGAAGGAAAAGACCTAGGGTGGATTATAAGCTCCCAATAACCATCAAAGCTGGCTGTGATAGATAAATCTAAAGGATTACTAATCGCTATGACAAACCAGCGTTGATGTTACCGATTAGCTCAACATATGCCAGCGTTTTGCGAGTTTTGCGTCCTGTCACATTCGTACATTTTCTAGTTTGAAACGGAAATTATTTGTTACGTCAACAGCTCTAGTACAATAATACAATATATTTACAAAAACATAATTTCCTGAAACATTAAATTAAAAAATGTAATGTTTCAATTATAACCTTTACATTATAACATGATAAAATAATAATTAACACAACTGATCGTAGGTTTGTAGATTCTTCTTGTTTTGTTTGATTGATTGGTTGGTTGATTGATTGGTTGATTGATTGATTGGTTGATTGATTGATTGATTGTTGAAAGCAGGACGATAGGAAGGACAGACTAGTGAGTTGTGTAAGATAATCACATCTCACTACCCATGTCTTTCATGCCGGCCAACCCATTCTCCTTCCTTGGGATTTAGCTCCAGCAGGTATCTGGTTTAGTAGTTGCAATAAATAATACGCAAGAATCAGAAAAAATATTTTTAAAAATCATTTTGTCTAATTCTCTTAAACATGGAAACATAGAATTACATTATACATTTGTGATTACAACAGGTTTAAAATATACATAATTCTAGAGCGTTTTACATTTTATAAAAAAAAACAAGGCCGACGCTTAGACCGTTTCGCAAGGACCGCAAAAAAAATTCACCGCTTTTGCGAATATCAAGATCTTATTGCATACGGGGACACGATTGCAGATTTTGCGCGCAGCAAGACCCCCCCTTGTGTCTGCCGCTAGCCTAAGTCTGGACGGTCGGAGATGATAATAAAAGGATATCGGGGAAAAAATGGGGGGTTCGTAGGAAAAATAGGTTTCTTGGGACCGAAGCAGTCCGAGGAATATGCAATGGGTTTGGTTACTGGAATAGATAGATAGATAGATAGATAGATAGATGGATAAATGGATGGATGGATTTGTGAATAGATGAATAATAGTTTTCTTCTCTGTAAGTTGAAATATTTTATACTACAGCCCCCCCCCCCGCCTCTCTATGCTTTAGTAAGCAACTAGTAAGGCAACAAATAAGATTAGAATGAAGATGGCTTGTAGATTTAGAATGGCCTTAACCGCCCAAGGCTTCTTAATGCCTTACAAAATGACATGTTTGCTTGGTTTGCCAGAAATATATTATTGCGTCATAAGGTTAAAAAGCCCAACATATACACAAAGAATATAAACAGGGGTGAATAATTAACACCTTATAACAGGGATAAATATAAATTGCGGATTTCAAAAAATAAAAAATTATAAAATTAAGATGCTTACCGCCACTGCTTCAGTTCTGTAGTCGTCAAGAGAATCCGCTTCAGTAAATTTTATAATAACAGGACAAACCTAAATTTAAACTAATAAATACAAAATATCAATCTTAACAAGAAATTATTATTCTTAATTTGGCATATGCTGCACATTTCATATCTGAATAAATAAATAGAAAATAATAATATAAATAAACGAATAAATGAATAAACATTTTACAAAATAAATCCGGATTAAGGATATTTTCTATTTCGCCTTGGATGAAAAAGAAGATCTATATCTATCTTTATCTAATATAAACTGTTTCCGTCTGGTTCTGTTTCTTAAACTAGAAAAAGAGGAAGCCTATATTGACTGGTACTGAATGTTTAATTTCCCCTTCATATTCATACTAGGACACAAAATATTTTTTGATTGGAGGGGGGGGGGGGTGCAAAAGTACGAATTTTGAATAAAAAAGCACCCAAAATAGATAATGGCAGTCTGGGAAATTCCAACCCTTGATATTCATAATATCTTGAAGAGGAAACGTACTTTAAGAAAACTTAGTATGTTCCCTGCATAATAAAGTCTTCAACTTACAACTAATCCTCTAGGATTTATTAACTCCCAACATTAAGTAAAGATTATAGAACAGTTTCCCAAATTCCCAAATGGAAATCGTAATGCTTGAACAGTTTTCACAATTTCCCAAAAAAATAAGATGATTCCCACAAATCCAATATGACAAACTGCAAAAGCCGAGCAATTCCTAAACCCCTCCGAAGTAAATAATTCAAGATTCTAAAATTTAATTTCCTGAAAAAATAGTTTTAAACAGGTCTAAGCTCCAAACTTAATTGCGTGGATTTAGTGCAGAAACACACACCACAGCAAGAATACGTTCTAGTAAGGGAAAAACCTTTTCAGTCGAAATGCAGTGTAATTTAAACTTATTATTTTGCAGACTATGTCTCCGGAACATGTTAAACAAAGATAAACAAATTTAAAGGGACCCTTTCCGAATTTCAATAGGGGTTAAAGGAAGAATGAAATATAAAAGAATTAAAAAAATTGATTTCTCGAATTGCAGCCTAGTGGAGTAACCAATGGTCTTTAAATCCGCCCAAGATCCCTCTTACAAAAAAGAAAAAAATATTAAATTCAAACCTGCTCCTCAACATCTGACTTCTCCACCAACCCTTGCTCCAGGAGAACCAGGAGTGCTGCTTGACTTGTTTTCCGAACCTTAATATCATCACAAACTGAAGTCAAATATCAACCAAGCATTATTGAAGAAAAAGATTAATTTTGTTTACAAAAAATCGGAAAAGAATTAAATTAATAATTTAATAAATAAATAGGTAAAGAGCTAAAGAAGAATTAATTGTAAAATAAAATCTATTAATGTTTTGTAAAAAAAAAAAGGTAGAATTAGCTTTGAAGATTTAAGATCTTCATATCCTGGGCTACTAAGAAGTACAAGGGGTTAAATAATATCAAACTAAGAGCAGACCCAGTTCGCCCGGACATTATAGTTGATGCAGGATTTAAAACTGTCTAATACCTGGTTGTTTTTATCTGTAAGAAATGTGACTACAAGGGGGAGAAGATGAGTTGGAACTACGTGACTCAGATGCTCTGGGACCTCCTGGCAGTACATAGCTATGTGAGGAACCTGTTCCATCAGTTCAGCTCGTACAACCGGTTCTAAAACAACATCAAACTTCAATATTCACCAAATTTACGTAGTTGATTTTAAATCTTTTGGTATATCAAAATATTATATTTATACATGAAAGTACATTTTTTTAAATGTCGTCTTCCCTTTTTACAGTTTTGTAAGTCCCACTGTAAATAACAAATACAACTTATTCTTCATGGGGAGGGGGGGATTCTGGTTTAAAAGCCTGATAAAAATGGTAGTGTGGCGGCACCAAAATCTGTTTTATTTATTAAATTTTAAACTAGTTTCAAAGTGACAGAATTCCTCATGAATATTTTAGGAATTGCACTGCGTTTTTTTTTTAATGATTTGGTCCCGGGTCAGGAACCAAAAAAAGTTTTCGTGCTGTACAAAGCGTTTTCAACTTTTCCCTGCAACTTTTCTTTTTGTTTCTTTTCCAAAAGAAAGCCAAGGTTTAAGCTCAATAACTATTGTTTAAAGGTTGTTAAGTTCAACACTATTATATAAATATTTTTGAAATCCATACTTTTGCAAAATGTGCAAGTCTGAATGGAAGAAGCCCTATAGACAATAACTTGATACGTTTAATCCAACAAAATCTGAACGCTTTCATTTTAAAATTGAGAAATAATATATAGCTAGGATTTAAAATTGACGAAAACTGATATAGTTCATAATATTAATAAATACAACGTTATATATATTAACATATATTGATCTTGGGTTAAAAATAATCATATACCACGACACATTGTGTGTGATAACAACCATACTCCTAAGAATGTATGATATATTAAATATATATTAATGCAATTATATTGAATACTGTATCTGATCAGCATATATATATTTTCATTAGATATATTCATTAATATCCAATATAATAAATAGAAACTATTTACTGGGCCGGGGGACTCTAGGGATCTATTGGACTATATTAATTTCATCATATTATCTACATTATATAACACTGTATATAAAGGAGAATGCTAGGCTATCCAATCTTCATAAGGACTATCAGTGTTAACTCTAACACAGGACAATACCATTAGATAAACATACAAATCCTACCAAACATAAACATTATAATAAAATCTGAATAAGATCATAATAGGAAGGTTGTCTTTAAAAACTAAGGAGAAACTATACAGTGAGACACATAAAACTGTCAGCTAGGAAGACGACTTGATTTTAAATATTACAACAATTTTGCTAAGATAATTTTATTACTGGTTAGAAGTATTTTACTTTTTTAACAACATCTAATGCACATGTCATCTTCTATTCCACAGTTTTATTGGTCATACTGTATACACAGGGAATATGTTGATTATTGAACGGTTTGAGGTATAATTGTATTGTATATTGAATACATAAATATATTTTCCAGTTTTGAGCTTCATTGATAGAAGAAACCGGAAACTAGGGTCTTGGGGGTCATTATATACATCCGGTAGGCAGGTCACTGCATCTTACACCCCCCCCCCAAACTCCTTCCACCTGGAGCATCTATTTTCTCCCACCCAACCCACACTTTATTAACCCGCCTCAATATTATACCCCCCTCGTCAAATTGTTAATTTTTCAAAATAATACTTGTTTGGAAAACATACATACGGGGTTACCCAAAAACACTGGGATTTTCTAAATTTCTACATAGTTTTACTCGTTATTGAAGCATCGGACGACAAAAGCCGGGTAGCTTTTGGTCCCCCTGTATAAATAATAGTAAATAGAAGATAGGTCATAGAACATAGGAGGTATGCTCTACTCTGTCCAAGCTATAAAGCTATGTAACGTGTAGTTAATAAACAAGGTTGTAAATGTATATTATTGTTGATGTCTGTCTGTCTGTCTCTATCTAAATGTCAGTATCTATCTATCTATCTATCTATCTATCTATCTATCTATCTATCTATCTATCTATCTATCTATCTATCTATCTATCTATCTATCTATCTATCTATCTATCTATCTATCTATCTATCTATCTATCTATCTATCTATCTATCTATCTATCTATCTATCTATCTATCTATCTATCTATCTATCTATCTATCTATCTATCTATCTATCTATCTATCTATCTNGGGGGGGTGGGGAGGTTGAATGTACATAATAAAAAATTAATCCCTCTTCTTTAGATTTCATTCATAAATATTTCCTTAATTTTAAATTTTAGATGTCTTATCCCAATTTTCCATCATTGTCGACCAAATAGAAAATTTTACTTTATTAAATTAAAATAACCTAATAAGGAGAATACTTTTCAATTAACGATTTATGCATAACTTTATGCTACCTACTTAAAATAAATATAAAGTCTAGTTATGTCTATAAAATGAACGTATTTTCAAACAATAAACCTCCCCGGTACCGCCCTCGGTACAAAAAGATCGCCGGCTCAGATAACTCCAAGAATTTTATCTTTTTATTCGATAATTTATGAATTTACAAGGCGAATATTTGGGACCGTGTAGTAGTGTATAGGTAGCTTAGTAAATTTGCAATATTCGGATTTTCAAGATCGATATCTTTAGCTGGGGATATACAGGAGGGTCTTTAAACAACACATTTCACCTATTCTCAAAATAATCGTTTAAACGACGTTTTAATGGGGGGGGGGGGTTACAGCATAGGTGGAAAGGGAGTGAAACTTAATATTATGTTATCTCCCCAAAGGATAAAGTTGATTCAGACAGAGAAAATAGGACCCCCCCCCCCTTCTTGTTCAGTTCATTCATGAATTTCAATTGAATCTCAGGGTTACTTATTTTCGCAATTTTAAAGAGTGTGTTCCCGACTTTTCAAAAGGAGTTTAAAATTCACCGAAAAAATGAATTAGCGAATTTTTGCCGTACTTTTTTCTTTCTTAAAAGAGAGAAAAACTATTTGCACTTATTTTTTAACTTATTAATGAAATCTGTTTCAGTCAAAAACACCTTTTCAAAATTCGTTCACATTCCTTAGAATCCCTCCTCCCCTTCAAAGCTCAGTGAATATAAATAGTTTAAGAATGGAAAACATACGGCGCTTTAAGTTACTGAAAAGGGTTAAGAGATAAGTGTGGGGGGGGGAATATGGGTGACAATATTAGGAATAAAAATAAGAGATTAGTCTTGTATTACAACATATCTTGCTAGAACTATTTAACAAGAAAGGTTTACAAAATCTAGAGGGGTTGCCTTAAAGATACATCGTGAAAGTTTACATACATTTTTGGGCGATTGTTTTTTTTCTACATCTTTAATCCTGCGAATAAAATAACAATTTTAACAGATTAAATAAGTGTTCCGGTAAAAAAAGTTATTACCCGTATATTTTCATATTTCAAAGACTTAAAGAAACTGTAAAAATTAACTTTAATTTAAAACTCTTGAAACCATTTTAGACTTTATTTTAAATATTAATTTATTATTTTGTAATTATGGATTTCAAACTTTGAGAAGGGGTGGTGAGGGGACGCAAACCGGCACCCCCCCCCCCTTGGACCCTGAAAAGTGAATTTGCAGTCACAACATTATTTTCTTGTCTAACCAATCTTGACAAATGTTTGGGACCAAACTGCAATCTGCCTGCCCATGGTTAAAACCTTCGTCAGCCGTACTTTGTGTATTGTAAACCGTACTGCATTCATGAGGTGAGGGGGGGGGGGCACGTGGATAACCCCCTGACAATGAACCATAGGGGAGAGAAGCACAAGAAGTAAATCCTGTCATAAATGAATTCTTTTTAATTTTTAAAATATGAATTTCTGCAATTTCCCTTAGGTAGGGGGGATTCTGAACAGGGTATACAACAAGCACAATGTGAATATTATAATATTTTGAGAGCCAAAAATTTCTAGCTCAAACATTTTTTCACTTTTTCTTGAGTTCGTTTTAAGCTGTTTTTCTTCCGCTGTTGTTTGTTGAGATGATTTGGGATGAAATGAACGCTCATCAAAGCTGGCTGTGATACGGATTATCTACACACCAGCAACCACCTTGAGAGCTTCAGCTCATCAAATTCGTCAACTATCAAACAATGTCAATTTTTATAAATTTTGCACCCCCCCCCCCCCCCCGCCGGGGGGGGGGGGGGGGGGGGGGGGGGGGGGGGTTAACCCCCTCACTCACTCTGTATCTGCTTGTATACTCTTCTCTAGAAGTCCCAAGGGAATGGTTCGAAAAATAAGAGTAAGCCCAAGTACTCTGTACTCTACTGCAGAGAGAAAAATTGAATTAACTCTGGCAACAGAGCACTAGTTAACCAGTTAAATAATAAAATTTTACCAACCAAACAAAAACCAAACAAAATAACTTCCTAACTAATATAAAAAATATTAATCTACAAGAAAAAATACAATTTTACAATGAACTTGCAAATATTACGGCCTTTCAGGGGACTGTAGTAATTTCAATTTGCCCTCTGAAAAGGTGCACGCCCCATTCACAACGGTGCCATCAAAACTTTTATCTGGGTAATAATGTTGAAGATAACGTCGTTTTTATATTGGGAAAAGTGTTGGATTCTGAGAATTTCCTCCATTGTTTCTGCAGCATTAAGGCACCAAGAGAAACCACAATTTTAGTTAGTAAGTAAGTAAGTAAGTAAGTAAGTAAGTAAGTAAGTAAGTAAGTAAGTAAGTAAGTAAGTAAGTAAGTAAGTAAGTAAGTAATAAGTAAGTAAGTAAAAGACAAATAAATATTAAATCTTTATCACGTAGATTAAGGGACAGATACTTATCAGTTTTTATTCTATAGTTACAGGGCCGATTTAAAATGTTTATTTATAATAAAAAACTCTATATCAATAAGAACGATTTATTTCCAAATTAAGACAAATGCGACAACAATATCAAGTAAGTAGGTCAAGCCCCCCCCCC